CCCCCCCCCCCCCCCTCTTGTTCCTTCTCCCTCTGTGTATGACTCTGCGTATTTGCACCCTTCATACCGTATTTTCCACCGAGGCCAGGTGCTCCGCAAACGCCTTTGCGGCACCGTCTGAAAGTGTAAGCGTCACCCGCACGTGGCCGTCCACCTCAAACTGGTCCAGAAGCTCCTTCGCCCGAAAGAGTGCCTTCCTTGACGCAAACAGCACACGAAAGTGCTGCGGGTACAACATCCAGCAGGTGATAAAACCGGGAATTTCTTTTAACTGGTCACAAAGTTCTTTTGTGTGCATCCGCGTCGACGTTGTCGCGACAGCAGTGATCATTTCTGCCTGACGCACCGTAGATTGGAGGAGAGGCGAAGAGTTCTTTGCATCGCCAGGGGTTGGCTCTCCGCTTTGGTGCTCTTCTTCCTTTTCCTCATCGGTGGTGGCATTCCGACGCCGTTTACGTGACTTTACCCCCCGCAGAACCTCACCATCTTCTTTGCCTGGCACATTAAGAAGAAACTTTGGCGGATGCGTAAAGTACGGCGCGTGGCGGAGTGCCATGACCATGTCTTCGAGGGAGGCAAAAACTGGATTATTCCCTACAGGGGCAGCCACACACTTGATCGACGAACCAACACTAACACCAACACCTTTTTTTTCTTCTTTTCCATTACCCTTAGCTACAACCTTCTTTTTATTTGTCCGATGGCCTTGTTTCTTCTCACGCATGCCGGCACGATGTGGGAGGTACACGCTCGAGACATCGCCATCCGCCTTCCCGTAAACGGCAACTTCAACGGAGCGTGTCTCCGTGCGGGCAGTGACTGTGTAGCGGCATTGTCGCCTTTTCGCTTCTTTTTCCAACGCAGTTGATGCCTCCTTATCCATGCCCTTTACAGTCGCCGACAATGCCTGCTGCTGTGAGCCGCGATGGTGCTGCTCGTTCAGACAACAATACTGTGGCAAGGCCTTTTGGTGCACTTGTGCAAAATCATTCTCGACATTTGTAATGACAACAACGTAGCGTTCCCCATCGTGCACCGTCTCGGTATTCCCGTGTTTGTCCTTTACTGCTGTGACGGGACCTTTGCGCATATACCCCAGCTGGCCGCCATGCGTCATATTAGACTCTCCCTTTTGCGCATCGCGTTTACTGTGTTGCTTCTTCTCTAAATGACTCTGCCTTCTGTTGTTTCTCTTCTCAGCCCTTTCATTGGCTGCCGCTACTGACATGCCTTCCCCACTCCTCCTTACTATATATATATATATATATATGTTTATGTGTGCAGGAACATGTAAAGAGGAAAATAATGAGGGGTTAGGGAATGGATGCACGTGAGAATCAAATAGACATACACCCTACTGACCTCGCATTGAAGGAAAAAAAAAAAAACAGGTATCATGGCACACACACACACAACAACAACAACAACAACAACAACAATGATCGCCCACTCACAGTTTGTCGTAGCGGTATTTCATCTTTGCGAGGCGCAGGAGGTCATTCTTTCCTGTAACGATGGAACGGAGTGTCCTTGCAAAAACAAAGTGCATCACGGGCTGCCACAGCACCAACACCAACTCCACCCAGTTGTCTGCGACCCCAAAAAACACGGGTCCCTGCTGTGCCATGTGTGTGTGATAGACACGCATCACATACAGCCAATACACCGTAGGCCAAAGAGCGAGAAAACCCAAAAAGTAATGATGCCGCGGCGGTTCTGTCACTACCAACGCTGCCGTACATGCGTCCCTTCTCCCTGCATGCACGCCCGTCTCTTGTTCTCTGCCGGGATTCGTTTCAACGAGTGCGGCCTCATCAATGTAAAGAGTACGACGACACGTACGCATGTCATACAACCCACCTGCTACTAAAAGAATAGACGACGTCATAATTGCAACGGCCCCTCCAAATGTCAATGGTGGAGCATCATCGATGACGGCGTACACAAGTGGGTGACCAGCTGCCAACATGGCAATAAACAGAAAGGCCAGAAATATCTGAAGCACAGCAACAACACGGAGGAGTGTCACACTTGAGCGCATGGATGCTGCAAGATAATGAAGCACCTGCACTTGCTCCTGCGTGCTCAATGGATCATGAGAATTGATAAGTCGTCGTGCCCTTGTGACTTCAGACTCCTGCACATTGCCTAACCGATACCGCAAGGCCGTCCTCATGCGTTCAACTTGCTGACCCACCCACACACCCCATCCTTCAAGAAAAAAAAAAAAAAGAAGGATATCCGTACCAAAATAAAATAAAAGGAATACGTGTGCGTTTTTCACAAGTCACTACAACACAAATATACATTTGGCAAGAACAATATTACCCTCACATATACGTATGTGTGTATAGGGCGTGTGCAGATAGGTGTGTACACACATGTAAATGCCGGCAATAAAATAAAGAAAAGAAATAAATCAATATATATCTTTCTTCTTATTCCCTTTTTTTTTTTTCTCACCGAAAACCCTGCCAAAACCCCTCTCCCTCTACACACAGAGAAAGAAAGAGAAATCAGTAGCTTCTATGCATACATCCAAAAGAAATACCGCGTTTGGTTTGGTGGTGCACGAACTCTTTACCCAAATTTCATGCTTCACTCCTTTCTTTCCTTCCTGGTTTTATTCTTCCTGTTGATTGCACTCGAATCCTTCAAAGGTCACACAAATACACAACCGGTAAAGAGCAGGCGTCATCACAGCCCCCCTCCCCCAAAGAAGCTCCGTCACTTCCTGCCAGCACGTCGATAAATTCCTCCTACAAGGCACGTGCAAGAAGTGGCAGCCATGCGGATCCACACTAACACGCCACGACAATCCAACAACACCCACACGCAAAAAAAAAAAAAAAAAAAAAAAAAAAAAAACAGCAAAAAATAAAATAAAATAATATAGGTTTACGTGCGCATGTATTGTATCTAATTTATTTCTGCCTCGAGCAATTCACATTCTTTCCAGAAGCTCCTAGTGTCATTAAACAAATCTTAAGACGGATCCAAGCGTCCCTTTTTTCTTTTCATCCCGGGCCCATTTTCACAGTTACACCGCCTCAGTAAAGGAAAAAAAAAAAAAAAATTGTATTCGAACAGTGAAAAGTACGCATGAGTTCAGTCTCTCTCTCTCTTTTTCTTTTTTTAAATTTTTCTACAATGCATCTCATCCACTGCGTCCCATCCCTATAAAGCGGCCGGCCGTGTTTTCTCTGTCCATGACGTTACAACAAGACGGATGCGGAGAGGGAGGCAGAAAAGGACTTCACCCCACCACCGTTAACCGTCACGAGATCCTCCCCTGCCCAGCCAAGATCATTCGTGGACTGCAGGAGCTCTGGAACAAGAACAATGCGCTTCCTAGCCGCCGAAAACTCACCAATTCGCGTGTCATTGTTCGTGTTCCCAGTTCTACCGTTATTCGGAGGAATGCATGAGGCGACACCGTCAATCTCCCCGCGGCTGCCGGCGGTCGGTCCGTCCCATCCTACTTCTACAGGATCAATTTCCTCGCCCCCGGCCACTTCATCGTCCACGACTTCTGCATACAAGTCCGGTGCCTTCTGCAGAAACTCCCGTTGCTCTGGACTGTAATCCAACTCTACATCTTTCCGTGCTCCAACAAGTCCTTCGCGGAACCGCCCCAGTAGCGTAGCTTCCGGTCGTACCTTTTCCCACCCATGTTTTTGTACCTCGCGGAGAGGGCGTGCCACGATGGGGCCATCACAACCCACAATCCAGAGCTTGCCACCACGCACGCCGACGATGATAGCCATTTCATTCATCCACGGCCCCCGTGTAAAGCGGATGCACTGTCCATGGGAAACTCCAAACACATCTTCGCAATAACTTGGGTGAATTGAGAAGAAGGCAACGACACGAGTTTGAACATAATACGGCACTTCTCGGAGAATGTCACCGTAATTTATTGGGGCATGATAAGTGGGAAGAAGCTTCTGTAGCACGGCTGATTTAAGACGCGAAACGAGGCCAAGGGCCTTGCGTGCCTGCAACCCCCTCGGCTTCCCCACATCCGTAAAAAAAGGCGAGGAAGCTGTGTATGGAATGGGCGGTGAATGCTTCACGAAGCCACGAGAAGACCGCTTCGCACTACTGTGCCGCATCTCGTAATGTTCACCCTGCACGATCCGCACACACACACACACCGGAAAAGAAAAAACAAAAGAATAAAAGAGAAATGACTTTTGCCGACCGATGACATGAAACCAGCACAGAGCGGGCGCAGACACTTGACTCCGCTCGCACAAATAATAATAATAATAATAATAATAATAATAATAATAATAAAGAAATCACAATTGTCAAGAAACAAAAGGGGATAAAACACCCGGCATAGGGGAAGCAAACGACATGCAAACAAACAAACAAAAATACACGCATGAAATACGGCGCTGAAAAATTGACCATCCTGTCCCATAAACATACGTGTACACATGGTTGTATGTAAATGGAGAGGTAAAAGGCACGCATGCATTTATTTTCCTTTTTTCTCCTCTTTCTTCCTCTTACTGTACCCCTTATCAGACTTCAAAATTCCACGGAAAGCACAATGTACCCTCTTCCGCTTCCAAAGCAGGATAAACGTCAGCCCAAGAACAACAAGCGACAAACAGACGAATAAGACCAAGCCCATCGCCGCCTCGTGCGAGTTCTTTTCTTTGAAATGAAATTCGTTGTTCCTAAAAATGCAATCATCATCGGCCACCGTCACGGCGGTCTCCCACCCACTAAAGACCTCACGGAGCCGCCTTGCCACAGCCACTCGACGCGGCGCCGAAGCAAAAAGAGCCGACAGAAGTTCTTCATATTCGTTTTCCTCATATTCCCTCACGTTCACTTCCACCGGAGTTGTGACCGCATGCATGTGGCCATTACTGCGTTTACACTCAGCGCCATTTGTAAATTCGGGAACATCTCCGGTGTAAACAAAATGAAAAAAGTCACGTATGATGCTAAACGTAAAAGAGGGAGCCTCGCTTTCATGAGTCACAAGGTTTTTAATTGCTTCACGTACACGTGGGGGTACAACCACCTCGACCCCAGTGTTGCCGGACAATTGAGAGGAGACGTCATAAAACAATTTGTCCAAGACACGCAGCGAAGCCTGAAGGGAAGCGGAGGATGAACCAAAGCCGCTGGTATCCGTGAAGACAGCGACGCGTCCCCTCCCCCTCCCACATCTTTTCATACCGTCTGCAGAGCTCCTTCCGCATTCTTCGTCCGTATCACTGTTACCCACCCCGACGAAACCAAAAAGTGGGATAAATCCACCTGGATCCACCTGCCTCCACACATCCGCAGCCTCGTTGGATGCCTCATCTCCCCGTGTTCTCCCCTCGGACTTTGTAAATTCATGCAACTCGTTCGCCCACGCCCTTTCCATGCCGCACACCATCGTTGTTCTCGCAATTTCTCCACACGGTGGAGCACGTGCGAAACAGCCACTTCCTGCCGGAGGCCAACGTAACATACCTGCAGAGATCATTCTAGCAAAATGGCGATACACCGTCTGCTCACCCCATCCAGTGTGATGCCGAAAAAAAGAGGAGGAGGTTGCAAGCACCAGCTCGCCATCCACAACTCGCTCCTCGTCAAGCTGAAGCAACCCTTCGCTAATCTCGCACAGAAACTTGTTTAGAGAAGGCACATGACAAGCGCCCTTCAGACCATGCGAATTTCTCTCATTGTCTTCGTCGACTATGGTAGATTCCACCATTTCACCCCTTTTTGTCAAAAATAAGGGCGACCACGTGCGATTTCGAGTAAAATCGTAAAAGGAGAGCCCTCGTGCTACTTGCTCGCTGTACCATTCGCTGATGATCACCACATTCAGTTGATACAGCAAAACGGCGTCTACAAAAACTGCTCGCTCTTCTTTCAAAAGTGGGAGTTCCGGATCGAGCAACAACAATGTTCCAATGCTGCTGTAGTAACTCCGCGAGGCATTGCGCCAGTGCAAGGATGGTGTCGGTACTGTTTCATTCCGGTGAAGCCAAAAAGAAAGGTAACTAAGCAGAGGCAATTCAACAAACAGCTTCATTTCTCGACGAAGATACAGCAGGAGTGGTGCCATGTTTGTGTGCGGATGATCGCTATCGCATTCAAAGACACCGTGACTTTCACGAAGGGCTCGACGTTTCATATGCTGGTGTTCTTTATTATGCATGGGTTCAGGACGAGAATCATCGCCAGGTATAAAATCAGGTGGATAAAACCATTGATGATTAATGTCAAAAGCCATGCGTTGAGCACGTGAAGGTCGTGGTACGATAGAAATCCTAAACGGTATGGTGACCCATTCCGATGCAAATCTTGTTTCATCTTCCTTTGTTCCCCGCAGAATCCCATGAAAAGATGCATTGCAACTGTACACCACATTGACATTGCCAGACACCTCAATAAGATCAAAATGTCCCAGCACCCTCTCCCTGTCGTCCGCCTCCAAAATTTCCGTGGCTGATGATGTCAGCCGGACATTGGATGCATTGGATGGTGATAAGGCAAAAAGAGAGATCACCCCACTGTACGCCTCTAGGGTTTGCGGTGCATGTGCCCGCAGAAATAAAAGCTGTTTAGCGGTGGTCAGATCTACAATGGAGGCCTGACATTGCTCACGCCTATGAGCGCTACAGATACCCCGCGCACTCGTCATCCGTATCCATGGCGTGGCTTGGGCAAGACGTGCCGCAGGGCATTGTGGATAGTAAATATTGATATTATATTCGACTGGTGTCGCCGAGGGAAAAAGGGGTTGCTCGCAATAAGGCCAGTTGAGCAAACAAGGAGGCAATGAAGTTGGTGACGCCTCTCCATATGGTAGCTGATGCTCGCCTGTGGCTTCAATTTCCCTAGGGAAGGCAAACCCGCTCAAAAGTTTTCGATTTTGTCCTTCTTCTGCGATCCATGAAAGTGCACACATCGGGCACACCTCTCCGGCTCCTTGGCTCATGCGACTGTACTGCAATACATTTCGGTAGTGAAAAAGAGTCCGCGTTATGGCAATGCCATCACGACGGTGGAACGCATTTCTACCCCGACGCCACCAGTCACATTTCCGTTGGGCCAACAATTCCTTTTCTTCTTTGTGAAGCGCCGCTTCCATGACGCGTAGTGCTGACAGTCTCGGATGAATCTCAACCGCCGTCTCCATCAGTACCCGTTTTATTACTGCAACGTTCATATTTGCCTTCCAGTTCCCATGTAAACGTTGAAGAGCGTCAATGCAAAGTGCAACAATTCCCGCCACAATCGGGGCGGCCACACTCGTGCCGTGCGAAACGCGTAGTGACAACGTACCAGACCCCTCGTCGCGTCCCACACCAAGAACATGCTCGCCCAGCGCCACGAGATCCGGTCTTGGTCGGCCCGTTCCATATGGCATCTCCCATGTACTCGGTCCCCTACCGGAGAACGTTGACACCCACCGCACAGGTAAGCGTATAGAAGATTTGTTCATTTCTGTATTATCATCATCATAATAATAATCCCGACGTGAAATAAGACGTCTTCCACGTGTTCCAAGCGATCCCACCGATATCACTTCGTTCTGGTCTGCAGGGTTATGCACAGATCCCATCCTGGGACCTTCATTACCTGTTGCAGCCACCACCACCACGCCCTTCGTCGCCAGTTCCGTAATTTTCTCTGTGAAGACGGCATCATAGTAGTCGATGCCTCCAAATGACAGATTTATAATATTTGCACCCCACTGAAGAGCAAAATTCAACGCGGCTATACACCAAGCGGTGCGAGTATCACGATTGTCATCAAAAACACGCAGCATATGAACATCCGCACCTGGCGCCATCCCGAGGTATTGCGAGCGAGCAGAAAGTAGTCCCGTCTTCTCTGCGATAAATTTGTCATCGGACCTCATGTGTTTTGCCTCCAAAACACTCTTATTTCGATTCCACTCCAATAATGAGATGTTTCCAGCCATCAAGGAGACGCTAAAGGTGCCATGCCCATCTTGGTTATTCTCGCACGAAAAACCCGGCACAAAGCTCGTACACATAAGAAGAGGTTTTCTTGTGCCACCTGTTCCATTTGAATCCCGTTGCTGTTCAAGTGATGATGATTCTGATAGAAGTAGATGCGAATCAAGCCCCGTATCCAACAGAGCGATACGAACGCCTCTTCCTGTCCACTTCAACGTTGAGGAAAGACCAAAATATCGTCGTGGGTACAACGGCCGCGCTGTGGCGAAGCCTGTTTGTTGTGCCACTGAAGCTAGAGTCCGATTCCCCCAAAGGAACGTATTTTCCACCACGCGAAGGACAGAAATTTGCCCCACACAAGGAAAAACAAGCCGAACATCACGGAGTTCCGTTTGAACACATCGCATGCTACGATTTCTTTGCGGTGACAACACACGCACCACAACAAAGTCCTGCCATCCTCCGCCTTTTGATACATGAGGTGCAATAGACAGGCAGCCACACGTCTTGTCTGCCTGCCGCCATTTCCACCATCGCTGAGTCTCTTTAGCAACGTTGATTGTCCCGTCGGGAAGAAGATAAGTATTGATAAAAACAATGTAGTCACGACCAAAACCGCTGTCACAAGGGACAGGAGACTGTACGCCTCCCCGCACGAGTAGTGTTTGCGACAACAACAGGAGAAGGAAAACACAAAAAGAATTCCCAGCCAAATGATGAAAGTGCTTCGTGAACGTGGAGCCTATTTGTCTGCATCTCATTCCTTTCCCTTCTTCTTTTTTTTTTTGGTCCGCCTCATTCAAAAAAAGAAGAAAAAAAGGAAAAGGCATTGGAAGAGAAGGGAAGAAGAAGCCAGTACCACCATAGCCTTCAGGGTGACAACGCACACCGCCTAGTTGTAATCAACATCTCCTTTGCAAATTTCACTTGTCCCTCTCCTTTCTTCCTTTCCGCATAAAAATGTGGGAAGAAGTGGGAGGGTTCTGGCAGAGTCGTCAGATATATGATTTTACATCAATTGTGGAAAAATGACGGGTGGTTGTGACGCATTTCACCGCGCGGCAGCTTTCCCCTAACCCTTTTCTTTTTTTCCTTCCTTTCCTCTTTGCCGCTGCTCTCTCTCAATATGCATATATATATATATATTCTCCTCAGTGCTGTTGACTCAGCCGTTTTCATTGACGCTCGACGCGGGAACCAGCGGTGGGGCTCGTGTGTTGGTGTTTAAAAGCCGCTCCGCCAGCCACCGAATGGGATTTTCGGGTTTCGCCTTTGACAACTCCACGAGTGCGGGCAACAGGGCGCCCTTCAGCTCTGCCTGCACGTATTCTTTCGAGGCACCCGTGCTTGGCACATCCTGCGCTAACATGCGTGGAAACAGTAGCTGAACCACCTGCTTTGCTGCAACAGCAGTGGCATTACAAAACACCGGACATGAAATGTGTGATCCTTCGGACTTTTCTTCATTTTCCCTTTCATGTTTCACTGCTGCCGTGGTAGCCTCTTCCCGTGTGGCCTTTTCCCGAATACACTTTAGCACCGATGTAAAGTCCTCATCTGCGAATAGACGACAGAGAAACCGCAACAAATCCAAATGACAATCCCGTCGTGCCAGCACATACAAGTATACATGTCCAACAAGGTCCTGTCGCCCAGTTGAAACGGAGGTCGCGTGCTCACACGTGAACATGGGCCGAGACGTCGCCGCGTCCTCCAAAGCAATCGATGGGGCGGCGCTACCACTGAGAAATGCGGTACGATCAAGCTGGACGGCAATGGTGTCTGCCAACTCCTCATTGATGCGCCGGTATTCCTCGTAAATGATAATAAATCCCGCCTCATGCAGCTTAAACTTAATCACGGAAAGCAACTCCCGCTCTTGCGCATATTTGGGGCGCACAAAAAGAGCCGCTTTTGACACAACACCACTGAGAGACGATGTCATTCTCTTTGTTTTCCTTCACAGCTACTGTCAATGTGGCCTTGACTTCTTCTTGTCAATTGCGGAGTGTTCACAGCCCTCTTCCGTCGCTGTGTTTATTTATTTGTTTATTTATTTTGTTGTCCACCCTCTCTTTTCTTCTATCTATCCTTTTCTCTCACTGTGCGCGTTGCATGCATGCGTTTTTCAAAAAAAAAAAAAAAAAAAAAAAGGAGCGGAGAAAACACACAAACAAACAACAGCGATTCGCTGAGAGTGATAGGAGGACAGACACCCTCCTCACACTCAAGAAAAACAACAATAACAAGAAAAAAAGAAAAAAGAAGAAAAAAAAAGAAAAAAGGCTCTCTTTACTCGTCTCGTTGGCAGATTCCCCCCTGTCATTTTTTTTTTCTTTTTTAGCTTCCCTCCCATTACTTCCTTTCTTTTTTTTTTTTTTTT